TATATTATACGTAACTATTTTTTATAAAGTAAGTTGTAAATACAACACAACGCATGTACTCAGACAAGTTTCGAAAGGTGTTACAGCCAAGTTTGTGCCGAAAAGAGATGGTCCGTATCTAGTCATTCGCAAGAGAGGTGCATCAACTTATGAAGTCGCGTCCAAAGCTGAACCTGACGTGCCACTTGGAGCTTACCACGCCTCCGCTCTGACCCTATATAGAGGTAGCAATACTGAAGAACATCCGAATGCTGTGCAACCAATTCGTAAGAGGGGGAGACCACGGAAGACACAATAACTGGTTGACGCCTGACTCGTGCTTACACTCATCATTCGTCAAGGGGGAGACTGTAGTATACGTATATAAATAAACATGTTAAACCCCAAAATAGCGATATTAAACATAAGCGTAAATATGTATTATTTTGTATTTTTATATATTAACAAGTAAATGTATCTGGCCACACTGTTTAAATTATATTCCACAGCTTACCGTCCACTATATAACTTGAATATCCACAACTTTTCAATTCATGTTCCACATTAGCTGATCTTTCGCCTATAAAAAGCGTGCTCCTCTGGGCGTTCGTCTCATTTGGCTGAAGGCGTCCGCTCAAGAGGTAAGCTTAAATAAGTAGTAGTAGGTCTTATTGCTATTTGGAAGATGAACAGCGCAAAGCTGGTCTCTTTCAGTAGTAGTAGTCTGTATGTATATTGTAGTTTTTATCACAACTACTTAGATGAACCGCGCAAGCTGGTCTCTAGTATTTGTAACCCAGTACTATACGAGTTGAGATGAACAGAGTAAATCTGGTCTCTCACTGTTAAATGATACCACTGCTGTACTCTTAACTTTGCCATATTTTTTAAGGTTTTTACCCTGTACTCGCACTTACGCTATAAATACACCACCTTTCACTAAAACCTTCGGTTCTTTTTTATTTATAAACTTAAATTAAATAAAAAAATAATTGGTGCAAACTAGTCTATTTGTGGTGCATTTATAGTTATGACACGCGGTGTATATGTTTGGTTTTGTTAAAGTATGAACAATATAAAAAATAACAAATTTTGACTTAAAACACATAGTCAATTTTAAAAGAAAATCAACATATGAATACTTGTTTGAGTCACTGCAAACATTTGGAATAAAATTTAATGAAATAATTGAAAAATACTTTATACTAAACTAAATACCAGTGCTGGTATCACTACTTCAATGTTATTATTATACTTATTCATATGGTTCATACAAAAATATAATAAATGCATTTTTTCTTGCATATATATGTTTATACAAAATATGTAGGTATGTATAAATAAATGTTAATAAACACTGGTTTTTAATAAAATGTAATATACGACTTATTATTATTGTACGTATAAAACGCCTGGGAGAATATATGTATGTGTAGGTATAAAATTAAACACCAAAAGGGTAGTTTGGTGGAGGTTTACACATTCATTGTTTTCGCTTAAAACATCAAATGCCTAAGTTTACACATTTCTTGTGAACACAGAATGTTTAAAATTGCACTTAAAATTTTACACATTAAATGTTGAGAATTTAGACATTGGATGTTTAGACCTTAAACATTTGATGTTTAAATTTAAACATGTCAAATACACATCTAAAGTTTAATTTCACACGTTGTGTAAATTTACACGCATTAGGAGAGGAAACTGGTTACCAATCTTAATATGCGTAAATTTAAACAACAAATTTTTAGAGTGTACATTAGGTGTAATTTATTTCCATTGAACTCAACATACTTAAAATATGCAAAAAGCGGGAGATTTTAAATTTTTTAGCTATCTTCAAAATATTTTCATACTTATGTACAACTAGTTTGAAATGAAGCCATTTAAAACCATTTGGATTGATACCCACATTTTAGAAATTCATTGAAATAATTGACTAGTTTGAAATTTACTTCTTAAACCGTTAATTCATATAATCCAAGTTGAGTTTGAATTTTCAAACACGTGGAAACCCTGCTTGACATACATACATATGTTGCTTAGAAATAAAGCCTTTTAAGGACACTTTCGATTAAAATCTAGATTGTAAAACCCAGGGAACGGATTTTTAGTAAATAAAAACGTATAAAAAAGGCAAAATAAAATAGCGAATAAAGTAGCGAAAATTTATTTTAGAAATGTTTATCTATGTATTACAAGTAAAAAGAGAAAAACTATGAACTAGGTTCATTATATGAAAAATGTTTATTTTGAATCCTTGACTTTTTTCTCCTTTCGAGTTTTTAACTCACAAAATTTTAATCTCTATAGTTGTAGTAAAATTGAACCACAAGATGCCTTTTCGAAGTTTTCTGGCAACATTTTCATTCGGCTTTCGCGAAGGAAAGCCTTGAATATACTAAACGTGCGCTCGATGTGAGTTGAAACAAGTGGCGCCCAATTTAAAAATGGAATGTTTGAAAGTATCATATTATAAGGAATAATGGCTTTTTTCTCTCCATAATTACTTTTTTAAATGTGGAAAAGGTAAAAAAGGCAAATATCTTAAAAAAGGCAACATCAAATGTGTATATAGGGAATCAGGGAAAGCTAAATCGTAGACATTCTTAATCGAACATACTCTATCTCTTTAGCAGAAAAGAAGGCAATTTCCATAAAATCCGTTCCCTGGTAATAACTCATTTAACTTATAACATAATTGTATTTGAATTTATATGTAAAACAGGTGGAAACCCTCTTCAAATACTTTGGAAAATTCTACATGTTCAAGCTGAATATTTCTAATTTAAACTCGAGTTTTAAAACAGGTGGCAATCCTCTTCCAAATAAAACCCTATTAAATCCCTTTCGTCTGACATCCATATTGTGATACACATTCCAACTACCAAATTCCCTTAATTCAAGAAGAATTTGATTTGTCGAATTTTGCATTTCATATGGATGCTACTAAAATGCGACTGATTAACTCCCCTTTCACCTTTTTCATTTTGTATTTATCCTATTTTCTTTGGAAAGCTTTCTATTTAGTAGCATTCTAGAAATTAGTTGAAACAAAATTAGTTTTTATAGTTTTTTTTCCAAGTTTTAGTGTTGTGACTATCCCACAGTTGTAAAACTCAAAATGTACAAATGTGATCAACGAAATAACTTAGTCTTTATTTGTTTATTTGTGGTTTTAACAATTACAAATTCAATGTCAACAAATGTTAATACATCCGGCAAGCCATGATACA